TCTTCTGGACCTGAGGAAAACTAAGCAATTAGGTAGCAGTTTGTTTACCAAGAATTGTCTGTTGAGATCAGCTAACCCATCAAATTTACGACCTGTATTAGAGTTAGTGAGATTACTAAATTGTGTCATAAAAGGAAGGAAATGGTGGTGCTGTTGTATCAAGCCGTTAACTTAAAAGCATGCCGAAAAAGGTCCTTTCTATTGTTTACTACATACACAGGCCATACTTCAGTAGTAAGAGCGACAGTTAAAGATGTTGGTATTATCTGGAATATTTAGAATTACTTTGGTTGTCAAATACAGCGTTCCCCAAACTTTTTTGGCCACGAAGCACTTTTCAGCTGAGAAAAAGCTTACGGAACACTATACACGTGAAATATCGGTGTAGAGGGTATGTGTCCGCGCGCAGCGCCCTCTAGATTTGTATATTATATACTTATTTATTTAATCAAATTACATATTAACGACTTTTTACATTTTTATGCTTATACTATATTTTAGGTACAAACCTCTCCACTAAGATATTATGTAGAATATATATGACATCTTCTATAATTCTTCTTCAATGTGAAATCGATATTATTTAATTCTAATACATAGGAAAATATTTCATAAGTTACGATCGTACAAAAAGTGTTAAATATTTTATTAAAATTTAAAATCATGATTGTCTCACGGATCACCTATCAATCTCGGACGGAACACCAGTGTTCCGCGGAACATAGGTTGGGAAACGCTGGTAAAAAGAAAAGGAAAAAAGTACCCGAGATTGACTTGACTTTTTAAACCCAGAATTTTTTGCGCTTTCTGCCGGAATTATTTCATGATGTCCAAATAATAATCACCATACCTTACAAAATTTTCGGTCTATTTATAAAAGGTGAGTAATAACATGGCTTGGATTAGTTTTGAGCCAGAGACGTGTTATCGGACGATATCACTGTCCGATGGGTAAATGAAAGATTTTCGGCTGGGCGCTCGCGACGTCCGCTCGAGGTTGCGGAGTTAAGTTTTCCTAAAGACTTAAGTTATAACATTTGGTTGTTGGTTTGTAGTATTAATTTTGATTAGGAATGCGATATCTCTAGGTCATCTTTGAACTTACAGGAGAGGGTAATGATAATGAGTGACCTATATAGTTTGGTTAGGTACCGGACAAGGAATCACTTGGTGCGTTTATTGTAGCCGTAAAATCCGTCGGTAACAGGAAACTTGTAACAGCCGTGTGCTACTGTGACAATATCTTCGAACGCCTTTCACGAGAGGAGAACTTGTGGACGCTGGGTAATGGTTTTATTGGTGGTATAAAACCGAATAGCCGCAATAGAATTACTTTGACAAATAAACCGATTTATAGGTGAAGCCCTGAAGGAGTAACTCAAGAGTAAGTCGTGATATGACTGACTACTATAAACAAGAAGATAGCACCCTCAGCGTTAGACGTGACTCAACAGGCTGCACCCGCAGGGCACTAATTTGTGGGCCATAAACATAATCTCGTCCCCGTGTTTTTAGACTTGTATGGCTTGCTTTCAAGTCATCGTAAAGCGAGTTTTATGTTAGAATATCGAATACCCACGTCACGTGGTAATATCACTTTTTTGTTATTATTGAGGAAACTACGTAAATATCAAGTTATATATAATACAGATGTCATGAAGTACAGGTTTGTATTTTGGTAATATTAGTTTGTAATTTAATGTGTTGACTTGACGCTAACTAGTTAGCTTTAAAATTTACAAATATTTCTGGGAACGTGAAATAAACAGCGAATAGAATACCAGAATTAACTTTATCAATCGTTATTGAATTCTTATTTTATAATATATAATTAATTAGTGTATAAATTTAAGAGTTATAGCTGTTGGAATGATCTTTTTAAATCAAAAACTTTTAACTACATAGTATTTATTGTTTTCACAATTCCGTTTAATACATGTAGATATGCCTGAAATATAACTGATTATCGTTTTTAGCCGTAGAATGGCTCCGAGTTTTTTTGTTTTTTTTCTCGTAGCTCCATCTCTTTACCGATTTGAGATCTAATCACAGCCGCAGCTATTGAGGATTCCCTCTTATTATATAGTTCCTATTCTTCAATGGAAGTTAGTTAGGAACACACCCTTAAAATTGTACATACAAAAAGAAGATAAGGAAAGTGTTAAATTTCAAAAAGTTACGTTCTAGTAGATTAAGCTTCAAAAAACAAATATGTAGTAAGCCTAATTTTACTTTTGTGAAGTGCAAGACAAAACAAAAACGAGAACCAGTTTCATAACTGCTCGACTCTATTGGCGCTCTAGAAATTCACGTGTATTACAAGTTACGTTGTGTTGAAAACGAGCGATATAAGCCCGATTGAGAATATATACCCAGACCTTACTTACATAGAAGCTTCTAGAATCGGACGAACTGTAAATAAAGGGGTCATTACACAGCAATGTGTTAAAATCGTAAATAATATTCAACGTTAAACTGGTGCACAATTAAAAACATTTTATTTAGGCCTATCTATGGCCTTCAAAAAGTGCCAAAATACTATAAGTACAGCAATGTGTTGTTGGCTTACTTGTTCATTGTGTGTGTGTTACTATGTAATGGCCATTGCATATCGATACTATGCATGTAACTGTATTTCCTTCGTTTTGCATTCTTAATAGTAAGCCTGGTGTTTTGTGAAAAAAACAACTGATAAAACTCCAAATTAACACAGACCAGTAAAAGAAACCGCGACACCTGTCTAGACGATCACGAACTAACTACATATTCGCGAGTATTTGAGACCGTGTAAGAATTTTTTGCTAATAAGTAAAATTGTATTTGGCCGGTTAACAACGCGGAATTCTGTCTTATTATTTGACGGGGAGAGATCTGTGTAAAGTTTCATGTGAATACAAGAACTTTCTTTGTTCGAGTTTCTGCGTCATTTCGGCTTCGTCTGGTGAATCATTTGAAACGCTGTCCACATGAGGTTCACGTCAGAGTAGGCGGAGTTCTGAGACAGAACGGTCCAAAGCGCCACTTGGTGTCAAGTTTCGTCGTGCTTCTAGTACCCGTCTGTCTGTGTCTTGAATGTCCAAGTGACGTTACTGGGCAGTTACATTACGGCCTTGAAGGGGGGAGGGGGTCAGCGATTAGTTGGTGGTGGGCGAAAATTGATAGACAGCACACACGGATAGTGAAGGAGGTGGAGCGGTTCAAAGAAATATGAAAAAGGATAGATAAAATTAAAAATACCCCTGTACCCGATTTCGGGGGGGGGGGCTGTTTGTAAGATTTTTTTTTTTTCTTCCGTTGTAACATGATGTTAGTTACTCGTAAGGTATTCGGTGTATATGCACAGTGTGTTTACAAATTACCAGAAATACCACAGTGCGCTAAGGGCTGCCTCTGTGTATCAAGAAATGTGTAATTTATCCAATGTAATCGGGCATGAAGCACGTGAGCTCTCAACAAACTGTTCTTAGCCCTTCTGGAATCACAAAATGTAGGCCGTGTTTGAATAGTATATGTAATGTTACCAGTAATTAATTAATGAATATACAAAATTCTTTAAAGTGAAAATTGTGCGTCTGTATACTACCATCATAACATAAGATAACGAGGCTACAATTCCTTTCCAAGTGCATAACAATTACACTAGCATTATTATTATTATTAAGTGATAGAATAACAAGTTAGATTTCCGCGAGGGGCGCTGAGAGTTGTACTACGTCATGGTACTTCCGGGAGAGAGTTCCATGGTTACTTGCGGGTTAGTGATATATTTATGATCGTATAATAACTGTATATATATTACACAATCGTGAAACAATTAAAATTATCATTATACATTATTTTACCACATGCATTGTTTTTAGTTGTTTTTAGGTTGGGTAAAAAAAAGGGGGCAATAAAACAATCTCTGTAGAAAAAAACTAAATCGTAACATTTCACTGTAGAAAACGTTTAATTTAGGCACTGAGTTATTAATATCTCTACATGTAAGCATTGTGTGTGTTAAACAGTGGGTCAAATATACGGATTTAGAAAATTAAAATACGGTAGTTAAGTGTGGTCAGACACTGACTGAATGACAAAATACACGTTTCGCGGCTCTACTTGGAGTCGGCCTACTATGAAGGTACATGTATCACTTATGAAGAGTTGTTGCTAAATGTTAGTATAATGAACTAGTTAAGTGGAAAGTGAAAAGTTTATAGGGGGTGAATGATACTGGAAAAGGTTGAGAAGCACTAATCTATGCAATAAAGCGGCTTGTGTGTGTTTGTCTGTCCCTGAGGAAAACTTTCCAACTCTCAACATCACGAATCTTTCGGGGGGTTCATGGGCATGTTCCAAGGAGATTCTTAACTTTTTTTATGGAGTTAAGAGTCTCCCTGGAACGTGCCCATGAACCCCCCGAAAGATTCACGATTTTGAAGAGAATTGTGTAATTTTTCGACATCAAAACTGAGAAAATGTATTTAAGTTTTTAAAATATATTTCCTGATTTTTTTTATATCGACACATTACACAATTCTATAAATTTTCTTCCTTGCCAGTTTTGGTGAATGGCGCACACGCACGTCGTCCCCGTGAGACAAACGAAGCTAATGCTATTTCTGGCGTCGTTACCTCGCGTGTTTCATTAACACTTCCCATATATATATAGAAAGAACAAGATTTTCGGGCAAAATTTACGAAATGATGAAATAAGACAAATAATATATCGTTACATGATAATTTGAAATAACCTTATTTTGAAGAAATGTCGTTTTTTTTTTTTCTGTTATTTTTTGTAATAGCCTAAAACGTAAGCGCATTGCAACTTTATTCTTGTTATGTTGTGTAAGGAGTTCCTGTAGGTGTCGCTTTTCTGCTTTAACGATCTCTATATGTATCTGTCTCGTTAGGAATTCTGTGACCGTGGAATGGATTCGAACAGCAGATTTTACGTTATTTTGAAATAATATATATTTTTTTTCAAATTAGAAAAAATTATTTTTCTTTCCTTATAGTGGACTAACCCAAGGGGAACGAGGTGTTCAAGCCATCTATTTACGTTGTGCACAAGGTAGTATTGAATGGAAATATCCGCGAGGGGCGCTGAGAGTTGTACTACGTCATGGTACTTCCGGGAGAGAGTTCCGTGGTTGCTTGCGGGTTAGTGATACATTTAATGATGCTCAAATTTATGTAGAAGGACACAGAAAACTTCATTTACTGTTCAGCAAACGTGACGGAAAACACCCGGAACTGTTACGATGTTTTAACTCTCACCACGGACAGGTGGCGCTTTACGTCGAGGCAGAAACTGTTACTAGCACCTTACAAAAGGAGGAAGCAAGATTCAGCTACGAACTTCAACCTGTTACAGCCGCAGCTTTGTTGGATGACTTGGATGGTAAGTAAAATTAAGCTTTTAATAAATAAAAAATCCATCTTAACCCTAGTTTTACCGATAGTCTAGTTCCCATAAAGTTATTTTTTTTAAGCAGATTTTTCACCAAATTGCTTTTTGGCCCATATCTTTGTTGGTTACAGGGCTTCTAATATTGTTTATATGTCACGTACAAATATTGAAACAAAAATGCCATTAACATTGAAATTAATCTCTAATTACTTCCAGGGCCCATTGTCGTTACGTATTTTATGTAGAAAATAGAAATTTCACCTATTTTGTTGTAAGTTTTTTACATTGAATGTTGTAACAGGCAAAAACATAAAAATGTAGTTTTTATCACGCTTCAAATTTTGTGACGGTGGAGTTAAGTCACTGTAGAGTGCAGCACGTATGACGTTAATATTTGACGTTTTTGTTTTTTAATACAAATCAACGAACTCTGTTAAAATTTAACACTTAACGAAGGGCTTTAAAATTCAATATAACATTAGTGAGGATATAGGTGTTTCATAAACAGAATTTGCGCTTGTATTTTAAGTAACATCAACATGATTTTGTATTTAGTTTCGAATTGTACGGCACACTTAACTGTTGAAATCCTTGTTAGAGGTGGTTTTCCAACATTCTAAGTTTATGTTGAGATTAACTTAAGTTTTGTAAGAAAACACTAACCTCCCTCCCATTAAGGAACAGATGCAAGCCACTTTGGTAAACCAAAGACGTCTTAATCCGACTTTTATATTTCCTATTTCTCTATTCTGAGATGCACAGACGCGTACTAAAACGTGTACGAATAGTTTAAGAATACCGAATCCCGCAGATTTAACGCCTTTTGGTATATTGAAATCGATCATTCTAAGCCTTACGTTTGGAGGCACACGTTAACTGTTAGTATAATCAGCTTAAGCTATTGATGTAGGTAACTGTGAAACGAACCGGGACGAAGAGACCATTTTGGAGGTTAATAAACAGTTGACACCGTACACCGCGACAATATAGGCTTAGTGGTAGGAACCTTCTTCTGCTTGACTATTCATTCTTGAACTTAAAGAACCCACAGCTCTATTTATTGTCCGCAGTATTATAACGGACACGGTTCACTATGGTTGACGTCACAGTAAAATTTCGATATATATATATACACTATGCATGTCGACAGGTCTAAAGGAGGAAATGCTTCGTGGGTTAGAATCTATTATTTGATTATACAGTTATAGATATAGCAGCTGGTGGATATACGGTATCATTTGACAAAACGTTCGAAGATAATCTGTAACGTAATCCGCTTAAGGCTTCGACTGACTTCTGCATGATTTTCTGTCCGTCTTATGTTGCCCTTCTGCTTACAGAATGCGCAGGACCGATGAAAGATGGAATTAAAAAAAAAAAACGATTCATCATTTTAATCCATAACATCAACATCATACTTAAAACATCTGACGCCAGGTGAAAATTTACTCGTAAAAATGCATTTACGTGCTGTGGACTGGATGGACTTGTTTGTTTTCGGAGTTATTTTTAAAATAGTTGTATAAATTTGGAGATGAAGGGCTGCTTGATTTTTGTGAATCACATTTAAATGGGCCCCGGGTGGGACAGCGGTGAGTTTGCGAACTGACAACGCTAAAATAGGGGGTTCGATTCCCCATGTTGGACACAGCAGATACCCCAATGTGGCTTTGGTCTAAAACAGCTTACATATTTGTTCAACTTCTGTAGAGAACTGTAATTTGGAGGACTGGTATTTTAAGCTGTGTATTTTAAGATTGTTCCCAAAAGGAATTTTCTAAGAACTGATACCAGTTCGAAAGTTAATGTATTTATATGTTGTTACCTAGTTTTCACAAATTTTTACTCAGGTTGACAACATGTCCTGATTTAGAAAAAAAAAAAAAATTCAGGTCTGCTAAGAAATTATTAATAATCCTTCACCAGTGACACAGCGGTATGCCTGTGGACTTAAAACGCTAGAAATCGGGTTTCGACACCCGTGGTGGTCAGAGCACAGATATATCGCCCATTGTGTAGCTTTGTGCTTCACTTCAAACAAACAAACAAATTAATAATACGCACAGAAGGGTGCGCTGCGATCAACTGAGAAGAATCAACTTGTGGAATTTAATGTCTTGTCAGTACAATGTATTTGATCTGTTATTCCTTTTATTGTGTTTTACTAAATCACACTGACTGTTAATCTATCAGCACGTGCCCTAAGATTATCTAATAAAATTTCAAGGTTGCTGCAATTATTGTCATTTTATTATGAGTGTCTTTATTTTAAAATATGTAAAATTTCCCCAAAAAGTTGATATTACATTTAAACTTATGTAAAACTTGTATAATCAGTACATAATATTTTAATTTTTGTCAACAATTCCATTTTTTTCCAGTAGTTATCGCATAGTTTGTATTCACGCATTAGTTTTAACTAATTTATCCCTAAAGCTAATGTTAGAGAACTCCACCAGGGCTTTTGTTTTGACGACAGAATTCAGATGTCAACTCAAATTACTACGTGAAGAGGAGGAAACCTAGCTAGATACTTACAATTCTAAAAACTTGCGAGTGAAAGCAAGGAAGAGTGTAACTGTTAACCACACTACATCTCCTTTATCCATTACCGACGGGGCCTTTCGTTCTATACCTTGACTCGTTATGCCAGTTGGGATACGATAAACATAGTAGTCAACAAAACAAAACAATGGCAGGTATTTAGTTTTTAAAGGAAAGATAAACTTTCCTAAATTGGGGTGTTCAGGGATATTAATACCACGCTTCGCCACGCTCGTGAAAAAGTAGATTTTGCTACAATCGTGGGGTTAAAAGACATTTCATTCGTATCTGCCAGTTGACTGGTATGGAGATTTGGCAGATATCCGGGAGTCGAGGAGGCAGAGAGAAGACCGAGGCTGATGATGACGTTGATGAGAAGAAGCAAGACGATGACACCCGGCAAAGCATATCTCAAATAAACAGGGTCACCTAGTGGCTGGGATCTGTAAATCCAAGAGTGCCGGGGAACTTGTTTGGGGGGAGGGGCGAGAGAGCCCCAAGAAAATCTACTTTCACAGGACAGGCGCCGAATACATAGTAGTATTTGAGATGCTATTTATGTTACTAAATTGCAGGTACGACAACTGTCATGGCGAAGTTAGTTTTCAACAGTTTAATCTACGTCGTAATTACGGTAAAGATTAATATTAAACTCATTATTGTAACACCAATTATTTATTTATCATTCAGAAAAACCGGCAAGCTAGTCGGTCTTGCTTGTTGAGGGGGTCAAGTAACCTCGGCAAGCTAGTCGGTCTTGCTTGTTGAGGGGGTCAAGTAACCTCGGCAAGCTAGTCGGTCTTGTTGAGCGGGTCAAGTAACAACGGCAAGCTAGTCGGTCTTACTTGTTGAGGGGGTCAAGCAACCTCGGCAAGCTAGTCGGTCATACTTGTTGAGCGGGTCAAGTAACCTCGGCGTTCATAACTGTAACGAATAAGGTTTTTGGACAGTTTTTTTTTAAATTGTATTGGATATTTTCTGTAATTGCAATATTGCCGCTTGCAAAAGTCATTTTTAAAATTGTAAGTGCGTTGAGTTAGATCATGTGAATAGAGGTTGAGGATTGTAATTTAATTTATTTAATTCTGTTATTTTATTACACGTTGATCGAAAGAAACGCCATTATTGTCGCTCTGTCAAAACCTAATTGTGATCCGCAGTTGTGAAGGTCATCAAACGTACCCCCACTCCCAAATAAAGCCCGAGGGATGAACTTAATTTGCCATCGCCCGTGTTTAGGGCCGCGAAAAATGAGTCTAAAGATAAAAACGTGTATTCCTATCTGTCATGTGATGTTCTGTAAACCTTCTCTCTCTCTTTGCTCCGCGTTATATATTGTTGTAAGCTATATTTTCAGTGTTTTGATTTAGTTATTTTCTAGAGGGAGCTGCTAACACGATGATGAAAGATTTCAAAAGTTTATAAAAGTGGTACCAGAATACCTAGAATGTTCGTGAATGTTAATAATCGAGAGACTTTGTGAAATATCTAGAAACAAGGATACATTATAAATACGGGAATCAATGAAGCATTGAGACAGTTCAGTTCGTTCATTAATTCAGAAGTTAATTAAGTATTCGTAACAGTGTTGGTTATTGTGTATATTCAGTTACTCTATCGATTAGTCGTGATAATTTACAAGATGGCGGCAGTTAGTCTTAGTAGTTTTACCATAAATATAACACAAAAATTATTTACGTGTCTGTTTTGTATCACAATTATGTTCGAGAAATTATAATATTGAAAACTTGAATTAACAAGTGTTAAGGATCGTTTTTGTCTTTATTGTGAGGTAAATCGTTACGGAAATGAAGTTATCACAGATGGCGCTGTCAGACCTTGCACGATAAACAAGTACTGATGAGCGTGTGAATGACTGTTATCTGCAACACTGTGTTCCTAAAATGCGAAACCAGGACACTGGTTTTTTGTCACTCTTGTGTGACTCGTAAGGTGTCGTGAAAAGATTATTAAATTAACTCAAAACAGTTGTTCATCGTATAAGGCCGAATTTTCTACGGTATTGTGGTAACATTAATATATTTCAACTTGATATTCGAAATGAAATCGTCTACTTGAATAACTAGGCTACCCCGACGTCCCTTGACATCTTGATGTTTACACTTGAGCGCTGATGGATAGTTTTACAGACCAGAAACAATCGACTTGACAGGGTAGTCTTCATACCCGCGTTTTGCTTCGATAAACACGCGGTCTTGTTGGAGGTGCACGATGCATGTTGTACTGGGAAGCAGAGTAGTAAGTGAATTACAGAAGAAATAGAATATAGTCTGTAGAATGTAACAATTTGATTCTATTGTTACTTGCACATGCTCAGAACGTGGTTTATAACAGACTATCAATTTTAATAAATTTCTTTTTTTGCACGTGTAAAACTACGAAATGCCGTTGATTTAAATTTTGCAGTCTCCAAGGTATACACCCACGATTGTGTGTGTTTTACTAAGTACAATAGGCTTTGCCTATTGGCGCTGATCATTCTCAGCGTCGGTAATTTAGCTGTCACGTTTTTGACATTGTGGCATGAGGTATGTCACGTAATATGTGATCGGCCATGTTGGCGTGTGTGTTCGTTATTCCTGCTAGAAGTGTTGTTTTACATAATGTTTGTCTTTGCGTGCGTGAACAGCTTTGGAACGTCAGTCACCGTAACAACAGTGTCCCATTATCTCCTCTCAAACGGATGGGTGTAAGGCTGAGAAAAACTGTTCTTTTGAGGCATCGGGGAAAATGCTTAGAAATGTTTTGCGGTTTTTAGAATTATTTTAAGACAGTGATTCCCAAACTGAGGGTCGCGACCCCACTTGGTTTGTGGAGTCAATCAATGCGGTCGCGATTAGTTGATTACAATTAGGCCTACTTTTATTCTGTATTTTAACGATTTGAAAGTTACTGTGTTGGTTCGGGTGCTGTTCGGGGGACACTTAAATGTCAAAAAATGTTTGTGAATCGCTGTTATAGGACATTTGGATGTTATATAGTGCGTGTTACGTTCTTATTGTTCAGTTACTTCAGCGCCATCTGGTTTCATCTGAGCTAATTTGTATTGCCGTTGTTTTCAAAATACTACTTACGGTACACAAATTGAGCCAAAAAACAAGTTAGAGAAGTTATATAAAATTCCGGTTAAAATTATCAAAACGAAAAGCTATGTTATTTATATTAATCCGCTATTGTGCAGTCAAGGTAATCGCAACTTGACCAGTTATATTTCTTATTATAATTTATTGATAATTATTAATACGGGCGTGATTGTGTTATATAAAGTTAAACATTTCTAGAAATGTGTATGTGAAACTTTCAGCTATCCTACCAAATTTGTCATTTAATTTGGAATGTTATAAATGGTGGGATTATTTATCGTTTAATCACACACACAAAAAAAAAAGATAAAATCGTTTCGATTGGACGACCAGTTTTCTATATACATTCACGTGATCATTCTCATAGTGCAGTCGGTGATCAAACGAAGGGATTTTGACTTGCATTATTAATATTTGGGAAGATAACACCCGTCAATTCACCTACTCGCATACCTCCCCATTATATTTAATATTATTTCATGAAAGCGGGAGCTTGTTAAGGAAACGCTGTACCGTGTTTTAAAATCAGTGTAAAAGTCGTAGAGCTAAATAGAAAAAACAAGTAGCCTTGTTTTAAAATACAAAATGAACCATTAGAACGGGAACTAAAATTCCACACTGACTAGCTAACAAACATACATTTACTGTGTTATTCTTGATGAATCTATTTAGTAGCTTATTTAGCAGGAATCCTCCCTTCTATGGGCGTAATGGCTACGATCTTTCGACATTATATATATGTATGTGTGTGTGTGTGTGTTTGTATATATATAATCCAATTCGTAAAGTTAACATTGCGGATTATTTGGATAAAAATTTGTAATAAGCGTTTCATTTTTTATATAAAATTATCTAATAACTTGTGGTAAGATAGAACCAACACTTTGAATATATATTCATATATTACTGAAATTAGATTTGGGCGAATTTCAACTCGCACTTTGAAGTATGACCACGTGGGTGTTTGACCTCCAGCCATAATTCTAGTCAGTTTGTTCTCGTGGCGCAATGGACCAACGAATACTTTTGGCGAAAACATTCTGGAAAATTATCCAGAGAAGTTCAAAAGTTGCATAGTTATTTGTGGGGAGAACAACGCGCTGGTGAAACCAGTTTCAAAGTATAAATTACATGATTTATACGATATTGTGTACCAAGTATATCTCCTGAACGATCACTTAAAGGTTTGGAGACCGTTTGCTATCAGCCATTGTATTTGACATGTTTCACCTACAGGCCTAAAATATTTTTCTAAAAATACGTTATCAGACACTATGTACCAGACTAAGTGGTATCACTTATTAGAAGCGGGCAACAATACTTTGGAAGATGTATTTATATTTAGTATTGTATTTCATTTTTGTTAACGTTTTTCTTTTATTCTTGTGAAGAAAGAAGTTTCTACTCTAAATCTGTCTTTCTAGTATTTCACCAAATTCTGCCTCGGTAAACATTTATCAGAAGTAAGCAGCTAATTTTGAAGATACTTTACGCGTTTAAGCATTACTCAACATGGCGTTTTCAGGGAAGCTGTAATTCACCTGTTATAGGATACAGTAGTGCAATGATTGATTGTTTTACTTACTGTTTTCACGTTCTAAATAATTTAATAATTAACTGACAGATATCACAATCATTAAAGTAGGAAACTGAATCACCCACTCCTTAATGATAAGTTGTGAATGAGTTGACTTGCTGGTTGGAAAGCAAGGCTTACATAGAAAGCTCTAAACATAGATTCATATGTTTACATAGTAATAAATTTAATTATTTTCTCCTTTTTTCAGTTTGTCGTCCTTGTTCAAAAGAAGAAATGCTAAGGTTTTTCTGCGTCAGTGATTTTGGTGAGTAGTATACGTTTATAATTTACAATAATGATAAAATGTAATAACCTTTAAAATAGTAATGGGACTTGAATTACATGTTCCAGCTTTTCTGGTTAAGTAAACTTCTTTGAGTAAAGATTGGGTGTGCTGTGTGAAGTTACTGTGGCTATAGGCCTATCCAACGTGTCTAGTGAGCCTCAGTTCTGAGGCAGTTTTTTACGGCTGTGGGCCTATCCAACGTGTCTAGTGAGCCTCAATTCTGAGGCAGTTTTTGATTGGAGATTTTTTTTTCTGTTTTCTTGTACTGCCTGTATTAAATAAAATACTAGCATAACTTTTGGGTATTTAAGGTGTTGTTTCTCATCAAAAGGGTGTTGTGTTATTTAGATATCACTAAGTTTGATACAGGTTACCCGAGTTTTTAATATGAATTAATGCTAGTTTCCAGTTATTAGTTGTGAAGTAACTTACTCCTTAAATATTGTACACTTTACCTCTATTGCTGAAAGAAAGAACCCTCGAAAGTCCACAGCGAAGAAAGTTCTTTAAGTGGTGATAATCACCACTTAAGTTAAGCCTCCTTTGGGTACGCCGATAATATCGATAGGAAGGGTAGAGTAGGCTTAGGGATAAATAGCCGTCAGCAAGTCTGTCACATAGTTTCTATACCTCAGTGTACACACAACCTTTCACCCCTACCTTTGTGAACTGTTAGAATGTGCCCGGAAAAAGGATTAACTGTACGTCCTGTTTCCTCCATTGTTCATGCAACTCTGACTTACACGGACATGCTGACAAAGAAGGGCTTGACCGTTATTCAGATCTAAAAGCAAAGAACGACTTGTTGATTTTGGCCTGTCGGGTTTTAAGTCTTTCCAGCTAAGATGCGTACGTATATATGTCGATAGAAGCTTTTGAATCTAACTTCCCTCTTAACCGTGCAGTAGTTAAAGTGAAGTTAAGAAGCTTTGGCCTAAATCATTAAGTGGTAGATGCAGGTGTCTCTAACCGAAATAATCTACCGCTATCATTCAACAGTTCCACTAAACGCCACCTTGCTGTGAAAGCATAGAAGTATTCAGCTTAAGCTTAAATCTTAAAATTTCGACACACATTTTTTCTTGGATCACGACTCTTAACTAACCGCATTTTGTCTGGCCAAATGATGCTATAGAGCCAATTCCATTTCATCATGTCTAAATATTATTCTATTGACTGTAATAAGCATGCATGGTGTAAACGAGGCTTAAATATTCAGTGATTTAAAAAAAATGCCTACAATATTCTAATAAAGCATGTAATATTTTCTACCACTCCCTTTGTATAAATAGACCAAATAAATTCATTTCTGTTCTGTTGGCTCTAAAATAAGACTGGGCAGCAGACAAAATTTGGTACGTTGGGTAGGGCTTGACAGTACAACGGATGTATACCTATATATTTGTAGCAAAATTAAAATCATAACTTTATTGGCAGTTAATAACTTTCGGAGGGGAGGCCACTAGTTAGTTAACAACACTAACTTTTATTATCGGAATATAATGAGATTTTACCGTCGTTGTTATAGGTCCGGAAAGGGTTTTTGCGGAAATGTGTCACAAACCATGAATCTTCGGTTTCACAGCCGAGCATGCTAACCATTAGGCTTCGCTAAGCCTTAGTAAGCAATTGTGAACATTACATATAACATTTAGTTTTGATATTCTTATTTTCCTAACTTGGAAAGTACACATAAAATAAGGCTGTTGAAATGCCAGTTTTTAAAAGTTGTAATCACAAGATGGCGTGACATAAGTGTAATTTTGCGCTTTCTAAAAAAAAAAATGTACAGTGACAGCTCTGTACCCGAGGTCGTGATTAGCCGACTATCGAAAATCTATTGTTCTCTTTTAATGGTACCTACCTTGGACAAAAATGGACTCGTTAACCTTTCATTTATGTCCTAGCTTAAGCCACGCCCAAGTAGGTTGCCAACATCAAGCTAATAATTTCTGTAATAGTACTTTGTTCAATGTTGACAGCTGTGATTCGATATTAGACACATTCGGTTTGTGCATGCAAAAGGATGTGAGCTAAGCGGCAGGGGTAGTCTGAGGACATAACTTATGACTTGTGTGGTATAACTTTTTCATTTCTAGATAGTTTTAAACTACATGAACGTGAAAAGGCCGTGTCCATTTTTCGGTTAGTACGCGCGCTTTTAGTTGCTAAGCGCTGAGTATAAATAACTATTTAATATTGTTATAATACGAAATCTTACTATTGTTGCATTATTCCTGAGTGAAGATTGGTACTGTCAATTTGTTATTTAGTATTTCTTATAAACTGAACTTGTTGGACTTATTTTTGTTATTCGTCACTGTTTGTTTTGGCTTGTGTTGTAAAGAATATTCCTTAATTGAAACCCAAAGTCAATTTATTATTTCTTTTGATTTTAGTTTTGCAAGGAACGGTTAGCACCTTGAACCATAACAGAGTCCTCCAGCGGTCAGAGCTGACAGTTCAAGTGAAAAGAATTTATCGAGATAGTCATGAGTCAGTTTTGAACTCTGTCCCAGACGACCGCAAAGAGACTGTTCTTCATAGATCCCTGAAGTGTGACACTAAAGTTGGACCTGGGGAATATGTCTTTTTTGGTAAGTGGACATTGGAAAGTCCAGTTATTCAGTGTGCCCCTCGATTATCGGATTGGAGAAAAGTGAGAAGAAAAGCAATAATGGAGGGAACTAACCAGTGTCATCTGGATTAGGAAATTTATTTCAAATTACGAAGAAAAGGGGACCTTTTTTTAAAAAAAAAATTATTGCCAAAAATGTTTGTCTGTGATTACGGTTATGAGTAACGTGAAATGAACACAACAAAAAACGTATGTGACAACTATCGTCATTATATGGTAACATGTTTGAACGTTGATCTGGAGTGATATTGCCATAGGAGCAGTAAAGTGTTGTATATAGTTTGGTATTGATCTCATCTCTTACATGTACAGATTTTAAGTAAAAAAAAATGTTTTGAAAAAGAAGCTTTATGACTAACAGATGTTTCATGTAAAAAAAATTTTTTGCTCGAAATATTAGTCATTGACTGAAATATACATAGTGGCGCTTTCATATTTCTCAGATCATCTGTACCGAGTTTTATACCGTAATGTTCAACTTGTGTATAATTATAATTAAATACTTAACTGATGTTTGACTATTCTTTGCAATTTTTTTTATTTGATGGTTCCGTGGGAAATAACTGACTGCGATTATTATTAACAAGAGACCAAAAATAAAGAGAAAATAATGCCTTTTATTGAAGAGGAATAAAATACTAGTTTAAAAAATATTTAACTGTTACGATTGGTTAGTCAAGGGATGTTTATTACTTTGTTTTTACAGTTATTGGAGCATGGCCATAAGAAACAAGCGCCATCTATAGTATTATTTCGTTATTTAACAGGAACTAAATATTTCTGGTGAAATTTAAATAGAAAGTGAGTTTTAGCTTTTTTTTTTAAATCTCAATCACGTATTGTTATTTCGCAAAGTTAATTTTTTAAAGATATATATATTAACAACAAAACGTATAACAAGTGCAGAGTTTACTGGAAATCAACTGGAGCAGGTGATCTTTCAAATGTAGGCGATTGTAAATTGATTTGGCGATATGTATTATCAGTTAGCAATGTGATGAAAAAAGAAAAAATTGGTACATTACAGAAAAATAAGTGTTTTGTGTTGTTAAAATGTGTGTCACGTTTTTAAGCCCTTGTACCACCTGGCGTTGACAATTTTGTTTATCGAGTGGCTAGCTATGTGCAATGTTGATTTTTTAAAAAGTAATTTCAGGGGTTTTTATATTTATTTTTTATTTCTTTAAAAAAGCCCTTTCTTTGTATATGACCTTTCGTCTGTTTCTAAAAATGGAAAAGTTTCTTTGTTAAGACAATTATTCGAGGTAGAAGTTGTCAATAACTATCTTTTTTTATTCACAAGTACACAAAACGTACACTAGGGGGAGATCAGAGCTGTCTGTACACTTTTTTTTTTTTTTTTTTTTTTTAACCTATGAACTTTTCATCTGTTAGAGATATTATTAGAAAAGCAGATGGCCATAGATTTAACCAGCACCAAGTTGCTACAGGGCATAGATTGGCTGAAATTAGACCGAAAAATTATTGACACACACAGAATGTTGTAACTTTTGATATTAAGTATGGGAGTCTTTCTCTCAGTTTTGCTGACCGTCATACGTTTTTCTTAAACTACGTATGACCTTTACTTAGAATCGCCTATAGTAGATATGTCGTGGTACGTTATTACTTCTTTTGCACGAAATGACTGTGCATTATTTAATTTCGGTTGTATTTCGAAGGTTATATATAAACCTAAAAAAATATCTGAAGTACACGCTGTTAATTGTGGTTTTATTTTTGACGTACGAAACTTTGGTCAAACACCCAAAAAGAAGAAACAGATTTGTACACTTATGACCCCTACTTAAGTTCGATGACGAGGAACCCACTTTGAGACTAATAATGGCTGGAGACGGCTTGAATGGGTAATGAAGAAAAACTTTAATATAACAGCAAATGTACAACTTGATGTACCTGATGATGACAAAAACCTTGTCGAAACGTTGTACATTTGCTGTTATATTAAA